CTACAGTCAATCATATTTGAATAATTGGCATCCTAATAGGCGAATAAGAGAACGGAGCAAACACTCGCTGAGAATAATTTTCACAACACTTGACAAAAATTGTAACCATGTTCGGCAAAGAGGTAATATTGAAGAGAATGTATTATGTCAAAAACTGTTAACAATAAGTACGCAAATTCTTAGCAATAATCATAATCAGTCAGTGACAAGATTTGACACAAACTGATAGATAAATTTGATCGATAGATAGATAGTCATAGTTTAAACAACAGTGTTTAAGAACACAAATACAGAGAAGTAGTAACTCATAATGTTTACTAATTCGTATAATAGATACAAGCACTCAACGGAATTTGAAGTTGTCTTTCTTAAAAGCATAGTTTCATAAGAAAAAAATTCCACACATATTAATGTGCATTTTTTAACAAGAAAAACACCCTATATTCATATGTATCACGGTTTTTGCTATACTCCATATAGTGCTTCATTTTTCTAACATAAAATTATAAAATATTTTTTTCTATTTATGTACATATAAATTTCACTTAACAATCATCTCCAAAAGCGCATTCCAAAACTGCGCATGTACAGTAGATTCGAAAGCAATTTGCGCACCATACAGAATAAAACAGGTAGTTCCCCGCGTCTTTATTTTATTCGTCATTTTAAAATCGACATTTTTTTTGGTTATTTTACAAGAGTGATTTATTACAACGCACATAAAAATATATAAATGTAATGCAAAACGAATGCAATTTAACAGCTTATTATCGGTACTTAATAAAATCAATTTCTCCATAAATATAATATAACGCCATTTGTTCTACATCAATTTGCATATGCGTATAACAACGACATAGATAATACAACAAGCACAATCATAAATTTAATAATCTGTAGCAAATATCGATGTTAAAATTATCGATTAAATGATTCTATATCTACTACTATTAGCGGAATTAACATTACACGCATTTCGTACTCTGTATCTGTTAAATCCTTTGAAAAATGAGATATTTGATTCCATTATTTGGGTATATTTCGTATATTACATATTTGGACTAGATAAAGAAATACGATTAAATGTATCTAGAAGAGATATATGAAAGTAATTTATATATATTATATATAACCAAGTGGTCTTTGCGATTTAAATCGTAGAACATTGCGTGTATGAAACCGTATAGCACAGAAAAATTGCAGAAATATTTTATTGCAAGATTGCAAGATTGCAATATTGCAAAGAATGAATTTGTCATTTGCAACATTTCATTTCAAGCATGCTCATATGGTCATGTGATTAGTAAATGTAAATAGTAGAAGAATAGAATAAGAGGAAAAGTTCAAATTACATAGTTTCAATTGATTAATTGCCACTTGTGCTGGTAAGTGATTAGTAGATGCGCGAGACCAACCTATCTAAAGAAATAAAGAAATGCATTGCAGACTAACCATCGAAATCATTTCTATTAAGCTTTTATATCAGCAATGTATGCATGTCAATTCAGTACAAATTAGCACAAGTGATTAAAAATAGCAGTTAAGAATGAAGAAGCTTTTATCTATTCCAAAGCTCATATAAACCGTATGCACGCGACTTCAATTTCTAGTATATTTAGAAGCAAATGACAAATATATATTAATTGTAATAAATTATTTTGTAAAATTATATAACATTATATTATATGTATTGTGTTATGTAGAAAAAGAGAAGATAATCAATCTCATATATTTTTATTCCAATATTTCACAGACGTAATTGTGATATTGATTGGAAAAAAACTTGTGCTGTGAGATTGCAATATTACAACATTGTATTACAATGTAAGAAAAGAGTTTTGTGCTATATGGGAAGTGCCTGTACGAGAGAACATCTTAAAATAACAAAAATTAAAAACTTAAAATACGCGCGCGCACAATCATCAATATCCATCTTGCATTAATTTTTATTTACGTTATTTAAGTACTATTTGCAGTCTAATCAACGAAACATCAATATTTAATGAAATTTTATTCATTTGTTTAAAAGAATAACCATTGACTTTTTAAATAAATATCAATATGAATAAAGATAGTGCATATTTTTTAATACTTCTATCATTTTACAATTTACCATTTAGAAATATCGTATTATACTCAGTTAACCTTTCGCGCGGTGCGCTTATGAAAACATGTCGCTTCTTTGGCTGTATATGTCATCTTTTTTATAAAGAAATCTAAAGTTAATGCAACAGTATAGTACAACGATACAACATAACAATGACTCTACAGTAATAAAAAAGAAATGTTACATATAATTCTTACGCGATAAAACAATAGTGAAAACTATTTGATCTTAAATATTATTGTTAATCATTTTTTAAATAATGCTCTATTAACGGTTTGCGTTACTTTGTATTTATATATAAACTTAAAACATTGCAATGCCAATCATTGTTTGCATGCCGATTATTTTTGTTATTGTAACTGTAAGATATTTACTATAAATCTACCTGTTGGACTCTCATATGAGTCAAACTTTAAACGTAGAATTCTGACACTAAATTAAATCAAAGTCGCGAATATACATCATAAATACATATAACAAATTAATATTATTTTATTATAATTCCCGCTTATATATGAACTTAAAATAGATATACGCGCTAGGTATTGTATAACTTATATTCTGATTCTTATGCATATATATATTTGAACTGACTTTCGGTTAATCACTAAAGATAGAGAGCAAAATTTACCGTCTAGTGAAATTTAAATCAGATACAGCATGTGCAATTACAACACTGTGTGTAAAATGTTTATTATATATATATATACATATATATATATATATATATATATATAAATGGAGATTTAAAATTTCATTCCTTATATAGTATTTATGATCGTTCACCCTTAATATACACCAGACGTCAACATTTCGGTTTAAGACTTTTCGAGTCATACATATCATATCTAGGTTTCTACATCATGATTACTGATAAAAAATTCTATTGCTATATTAGTTATTGTTAATATTTTAGCTATATTTTTAATCTTTGAATGTCAATTGTTTAAAGATGCGAAACTATGAAGCATAGTCCTGATGCACAAACATTTAGATACAACGCGTACAGCCTGAGAAATCTTGAAATGAAAATGCATTATTGACATCTGATATAATTGCGTAAACATGTGACTAGGAAACAAAAATATTAATAATTTTATAACCATCTTTCTGTCGTTAAATGTATAGGACTTATAGCTCAGTAAACATACATACAAATGCTACGCGCGTACAGGATGTTTCATTTTATATGTTAATCTGAAATATATACAAATGTATACAAAAAGAAAAGCACTCTTCAAGAAAATGTTTCGGGTAAACGTTGCTTAGTTTTAAGGAAAAAAGAAATTGGTGTTACAAGTTGACGTTGGATGGAAGCATTAAGATTATATGAAGATTATCTTGGAATTTTTTAATAGAAACTTTAATAAAAAATTTTTTATTGCATATTCTTGTAGCTAATGTCGAAATATAGAAAATATATATAAAATAGCATAATTAAATTCTTTTTCGTTGAGAACTTCTTGATATATTTTGCATTTTATCATAATATTTTTTATATAAAACATGAAATACCTAATATGCTTTTTAATTCCGTTATCTTCATATTTTTATACGTGAAATAACGAGAGAAATCGATTAATGTAAAAGATATAAAAAATTGTTAAAAAAAATTTCATTACATTTTGTAGGTGCATTGATACACTTTGTAAAATTGTAAAAATTAATATTGCCAATCGATTCAGCGATTTTCTGATGAAATGACCAATATGAATATCTTTTTTTCCTGTTCTCGCAACTTTTGCCTGAAGCATTTTTTAAATATTTTTATTCGAAATATTTCTATACGCGTTACGTTCTTATATATGTTCAGTTATACTACATAAAAGATCTGATATGGTAATAGCACACAGTATGGAGAAAACGTGAAAATTTATGAGAAAATAATCCGCTTCTCTTGCTGTACTGCTCGAGGATTATACTGCGTATGTTTTCATCATTTTAATTAATCCAAAACGTTTCCTGCATGATATACAAGTGTACATATTAATGAACCTTTCCTGTTTGTTGCAGCCTTACAATCTCTACAGAAGATATATTATTATATAAAATAATTTACCCCCCCCCGCCCTTTCTCCCCCTCCCTCTCTCTTCCTCCTCCTTTTTTTCTCCCGCCCTCTCACTCAGTTTCTGTCAATTGTTACTCTCAAATATAAATGTGTACTTACAAAGTGCATAGTGTATGTATATTTTACCATATATTATTATTGAGAAACAACTTATTGCAGTTATGACTTGTATAAAAGTATTTCTAATTATAGATTATCCGAACTGATAATGTTGCAAATATCTAAGAGCATGTTAGTAAATTTCAACATTTATTAAAATCGTATCCCGACAAAACAATTTCTATGATGATGAAGAAAATTCGATTCGAGCGACATAATGCTTTACTTACAACCTGGCATATATGCAACGTATGCTGTGCGCATCAAACAGCACTCTATATATCACATGATTGGAGTAGCAGTGGTCAGATCCCTATTTCTAAACCATCTTTATAAATGTATATAAGCTATATTACTACACATTTCGACATCTATATAATCTATTTGTACTATATGTATTCTTGAACACTCTGTGTCAGATGCACACGCCTTAATACTTCAAGTACGCACATTTAGGGCGTACTCAAGGCGTACGCAGCACTGGACTTGTGTCTTAAGGCGTACCTGATACCGAATGTATTTTGTAATCTATTAAACCAGTGTATATTGATGAAGAAATATCCCATTTTTTCAAAATAAACGGAATATAAGAGATGTTACATCACTACTTAAAAAAAAA